AGCAGAGACAAGGATAGGGAAAGGAGCAAAGTTGTAGAGATGGATAGTGAAAGGAGAAGAGAGAAAGAGCGAGGAAGGAGCAGGGACAGGGATATAGACAGTGATAGGAGAAGGGAGAAGATGCATGAGAAGCGCCACGATAGGGGGGTGAGTAGGGATGGGAAGTGGGAGAAGGAAAGGGATAGGGTCAGATTTAGTGACAGAGATGGAGATAGGAAAAGGGAGAATGATGGCCAGTGGAATCAGGAGAGGCAAAATTACCGAAGTAGGGATAAAGGCAGGAATATTGAGATAGAAAATGATAGCTCTGGGGATCTAGACAGGTATAAAAATTCTAGGCACTCAAGACAGGATGGAACAGAAAGTTGTCGAGACAGATCCAGGAAGATTGATCAAGCAAAGTCCCTTGGTTCTCATGGTGATGCTTCAGAAGATGGAGACAAAAAAAGGTATTTTATCCAAAAGGTTTATTTAGTAAGTTGTTATTATCATTAACTGATATATATGGTATTTGGTCCGTTGGTGCAGAGATGAAGATGAACAACATTATTTTGAAGAAAGAATCTCCTTGAAACTTGCCGAACAGGAAGATGAGGAACTGAATAGAATCAGGGAGGAAAGTAGAAAGCGAAGACAAGCCATCTTAGAAAAATATAAGAATCAGCAACCAAAGCTGCAAAATGAGTCTGGTCCGGATGATGGGAAGAAAGGTGCTTTTTACCCTTTTGATGCTTTTAGTAGCATAATTTTTCCTTTTATAATCTTGGAATTAGTATCGAGCTAGGTCTTCAAGCTATTCTTTATAGCTAGATTTCGAAATGAGATTGTTTTTTAAAATCAATATGCCATGCAAAATGGATATCCCTGCTTTGACTAGTTTCTTTGATGGCCACTTATTGCTATGTGTTTGGACATTTAGTCATTACTTCTAACCTCATGAGCTGAACTTTGACTTTTGGACTTAAAAAATGATTCTTATTCAGGTTTATTGCTAAGTCTTCTTGAGAGGCAAGTTCAGAATGGTTGCACTACCCACAATAATGTAGCATCTTTAGTGACCTAGAATATAATGTTCAACTAGTCACTAAGCAAGCTTGGATAGGCTTCTGAAGTGCAAATTTCATTAAATATGATGACGGTGTTACCTTTGCAAAAATATTTATTTATCTTGGCTGCTATGCTCCTTGTTTTGTCACCACTAAATGGCCAACTGTTTTTGTCAACCAGATAATGAGTCCACAGAAGGTCATGGACAATCATTGTCTCTTGCTGATGCTGATCCAAGTGTTGATGATGGACCTGATGGAGCAGTAGATGTTTATGTCACTGACCCTTTAATGTCTGTGGGGAAGTCACCAACACAAAACGGAAAAGCTGCTGCTGAAAAATCTTCTGGTGCTGGTGGGCTTGGTGAGGGTACACCAAAGGTGTGTCATCTTTCTTCTTTACATACTGGCAAGTGTTTGTTAAGTTCTGAACCCTGATCTCTGCTTAATTTGGCATTCTCATGAAGCTAAACTATAACTACATGCCTCATTTTCTGGATGTGCCAAACATGACTTTGATTTTTCCTGGTTTTGATTTCTTTATTGATATGTGCAGAGCGAAGGATCAGATGACAAGTTATGTGATGATATATTTGGAGAAACACCAGCAAGAGTTCACAAAGCGGTACCAACTTTCCCAGTCCCACTTATGCTTGTGCAGTTGCTCAGATTTTTTTTTTTCTTTACATTAATTGTCATTTGAATTATTTGGGTCTCCCTGATGTTCTCTTGTTAACTTTTTAGACAGTTTCATGGCATTATAAAATGTTTTGTTAATCTATCACCTTGGTTGGTGAAGGTCATCCATGTAAATTTTGTTTTATATCAAAATGATGCATGTTTCAGTCTGTTTTGGATTTAGCACAGGTATAGGTTGTGTTCAATGGTGTAGCACAGTCATATCTTTTATTAAGTTCTGTTTCTCATCTGTGGACCCAAACTTGCTAGAGCTAAAAATTGATCAAATTTGGGGATGAAGTGAATGTTGTGAATGTGAAGGCAGTAGATGTTTGATGTGGTTTTCTACATAATTGGGGTTTTTATTTGAGGTGGTTTAAATGAAGGATTGGTTCAGTTCTGTGACATGACCATGTATGCTTTCTGATAGTTGGTTACCTGGCTTAGTCTGTTAATTTAGTTGATCTCTTCCCTTATTTGATAAAATGTTATGACCATAATTTTAATACTTGCAGGGTAAAGGAGAAGGTTTGCCAGTCATTAGGAGTGGTCTTCGTGACAATTGGGATGATCCAGAGGGATACTATAGTAAGTTTTTTGCTTTCAGAATTAAAACGTCAAACTTCTATCCTTATGGGATTTTTTATGTTCAACTGTTCCAAAATAAAGCACATTCATTTTTCAAACTTCTTTATATAACTGCTATTTTAATTTCACCTAAGAGTAAAGTGAAATGAGAAATACCTTGATATCAACTATTTGGATGTTTTGTCATTCAAAGAAAAAAAAAAAAACACAATTTGGCTGTTTTCGTGAGCCGACATTTTTTGATTGATATAATGGCTTATGGTAATTGCTCTTTGCCTTAACTTTTTCTCCCATTAAATATGTCATTATTGCAAATAAGTAATTATGCAATGAGATTTAAGCAGGAGTTTTGATTGTCATCTTACTAGGGCATGAATGACCGTGTCCAGTTTCTGTTCCTTTTATTTTGGCATCAATTTGAGAACAAGGACAAAAAATATAACTCTTTATTTTGACTTTTGCAAGTTCATTTCTGCATGACCATGAACTTCTTGTCTTCTATCAGGCTACCGAATTGGTGAGCTGCTTGATGGACGGTATGAAGTATCTGCTTCTCATGGAAAAGGTGTTTTCTCTACTGTAGTACGTGCCAAGGATCTTAAGGCTGGTAGTGGAGATCCTGATGAAGTGGCTATAAAGATCATACGCAATAATGAGACAATGTGGGTATCAGTTTAGCTACTTACTGTTACTTAAGTTTTCCATCTTCTGTATTCTGTTGGTATCTAATTTTTCCCTAGTATTCTTATGACATATTTTTACTTGTACTGATTTGAGTAGGCACAAGGCTGGTCAGTTAGAGGTTCAAATATTGAAGAAATTAGCTGGAGCAGATCCAGAGAACAGGAGACATTGTGTTCGTTTCTTCTCAAGTTTCAAGTTCAGGAATCATCTTTGTTTAGTCTTTGAATCTCTTAATATGAATCTGCGTGAGGTTCTAAAGAAGTTTGGTCGCAATATTGGTCTTAAACTAACTGCTGTCAGGACTTACGCAAAGCAACTTTTTCTTGCACTTAAACATCTTAAAAACTGTGGTGTTCTTCATTGTGATATAAAACCTGATAACATGCTGGTATGTCTTTATTACTCTTTCTTGGTTTTAGCTATATGGCTTTGATCAAATTGCACATTAACATTTATTAATTTCTTGACTTTTAGGTAAATGAGGCGAAAAATGTGTTGAAGCTTTGTGATTTTGGTAATGCTATGTTTGCTGGTAAAAATGAAATCACACCGTATCTTGTGAGCCGATTTTACCGTGCCCCAGAAATAAGTAAGTCATATACCTAAGCTATTTTTTTTATTATTTACGCTTAGTAATGGAGTTCCATTTTGTTTATTTTTTATTATGTCTAATAAGGTATTGGTTTTGATTCATCTTTACTCTACAATAATACAGTTCTCGGCTTACCTTATGATCATCCAATGGATATGTGGTCTGTTGGCTGCTGTGTGTATGAGCTCTATACAGGGAAAGTTCTTTTCCCAGGTCCTACAAACAATGACATGTTACGCCTTCACATGGAATTGAAGGGCCCTTTTCCAAAGAAGATGCTTCGTAAGGTAATTATTGTGCTTGTTTACTTGGAGACTGCAGCCACACATTTTGTAGGTTAAGCCTGTATTATTTAATTTCAGCTGGTATATGTTATTTTCCTCTTGCATTTGGAATTGAATACATTTTGTTACTATTAGCATTTTATGGTTGGTCAAAGATCTTGTAATTTTGTCTTCTTTGCTGGGACAAATTGCTTTCATTTGACTGTTTCTATTTAATTTTAGTTACTTAATGTTGCTTTAATGTTAATTTCTTATTACAGGGAGCATTTATTGATCAACACTTTGATCAAGATCTGAATTTTCATGCTACAGAAGAGGATCCTGTCACCAAAAAGGTATCTCTCTCTCTCTCTCTCTCTCTCTTTAAATGTTTATTTTTGTATAGTTAACTGTCAGGAATGGGATCTAAGGTCCTGTGATTGCTTGCCCTAAGAATCTAATTTCGCGTTTCAGACCATTCAAAGGATGATCCTCAACATAAAGCCAAAGGATATTGGGTCCATTATTCTGGGTTATCCTGGTGAGGATCCAAAGATGCTAGCCTGCTTTAAAGATCTTCTAGAAAAAATTTTTGTGTTGGATCCAGAGAAGCGGTTGACAGTACATCAGGCATTGAATCATACATTCATCACGGGCAAGTGAAATATCTTGCAGATTTTATGACTCCCGAAATGCTGTTGCCCTAGATATTAATGTACATTATGAGCTAACTGATATTCAGATTTCTAATCCTTGGGAATTCTGTCTTGTTGTGCTGGCCTTAAGGCTCTGGACGCTGTTTTTGGCATGGTCGAAGTCAAGAGCTGATAGTTGATCAGGAGTACTCTTTACTGGGGAATCTTTCAGTGGAATGTACTGTTTATTGTAAGACAACTCGCCAAAGGCGTTCTTTTATATTGTAATAGTTATTTGTTATGGCCATAGTGGAAACCAAATCATGCCTTTTTTCATGGCGTACTTTAGGAAAATAATAGGAAAGATATAAACTCAACTTCCTGTGAGTTTACAGTATAATTGTTCTTGTTTTATGTCCTTTATTGAAGAAGGCAAGCTGGATCTCTCCTTTTTTTTTTTTTTGACTTGCATGGTTTGTTGGTTTCTGCTGTTTCTATGCAGTTCCAGTGTTTTATACTGATTATCTACTGTTCTAATGCTTGCTGGTTACATTCATTTTCTTACAAGTGTCAATCTATGTCAGTTTTACTATTTTCTTAGAATTGTTTGGGTCCTGGAAGTCTAATTCACTTTTTCCTTCAGGATATCAGCTACTGCTTTGAGGCAACCCTGCTGTGCTTATTGCTTAAAAGGCACCCAGGAGAAGGTATCTTGGATTGTTTAATGGGAGCTATTGTGACGCTCTTGAAATTGAATATCTTATTTTTGTTGCAATGTTGACTAGATTGATGCTAGTGATACTTGAATGTCAATCACTATTATTCATGTCTTTTCTGTCCATTAGTTCAATCAAACTTATAGTTTCTGCCTATTTGTCTTCTTGTTGGATTTCTGCTCTGTATGTGTCCCCCTTTTTTTTCCCCTGAGATGCTCTGATGTGGCTTTCATTTATCTTTCACCTTTTAGAAAAATGAATTTTCTAATGAAATTGCATTGTATCTGATCCATGTTTCAATCATTTTGGAGGCACTTGCACTGTTGGTGTACAGCATCAGCCCTGGAGTGAGTCCATTTCTGTGAGTAATTTTGTTCCTAGTTCACATGTTAATTTGGATCTTTTATTCATAAAAATACATTTTTAATATCTTTTTCCTTTCTGTGCTTTTATGCAGATAACCCATGCTTCCCAAGTCTAGTAAGTATTTTTCCATTATGATTGATATTCTGTCTTATCTACTTGATACTGTCTATAGTTTTATGTTTGATTATCTCTGCCTTAATTACTTTTATGCAGTTTATGGTTTTATATTTAGTCTCATTTATTCTTGACTATATTTTTAGCCAATGTTTTATTTTTTAGTTTCTGCAAGTCTAATGCTTTTAGTGTATGTCATGATACTCATTTGTTGCATTCTTTTGAGAAGGCATGTGATGGTATTACATGAGAATAATTTTGTTCTGTTTAACAAGGAAAGATGTTAGATTTTGGATTGTATCATTTGGTCATTGTTATCTGCACCTGATGTTTGTGTTTAGATAATTAGATCTGGAAGTAGTTGCTAGTTTATGGAATATGGAGAAATAAACTTGTTTCTCAGCACTTGGAGCTGAGAATGGAGTGCAACTCTGGATTTTAGGATAAACTCATAAACAGGTACGATTGCTGTGAAAAATGTTGTAGGATTGTTTTTTTCAGTTATGGATGATTTATATGTAAAGAAGTGTGCAGTGTTGGGGTGTTAGCGATAAAGCAGAGTGCAGTTTTATGCATTAGAGCAAAGTGCTGGTTGTGATTGTCAGTGTAGGAATGTGGGATACCAATAAAATGGAAGGAAGTTGAATGACAATTTTTTTCTTTTTTTAAATGCTAAGGTTCCCCAACTCCTAAGTTATATAAATAGTAAAGCCTAGTTAAGTGGTATTCTCCAACTGTTAGCAAGTAGTAAGCAACCTTAATCATTGTATTTTTCCTCATTGCCTTTGTAATTAGGATTTCTGTGATATATTGGTTGGAATTTGGATACTGAACTGAGGCTGTGCATTATGAAGTACTTAACCTCTTTTCTTTAGCCTTCATGCCTTCCATGTTATTTTTTTCTTTATTTAGATTTCTTTGTTGCTAACCCCATTGAGAATTAAGATACTTTCAATTAGCATTGGCATGTGGTTTGGTTGTACCCTTATTCTTTGTTAGATGTTCTTACCTTCTTTCTTTTTTTTTACCCCCATAAGTTCCATGTTTTTACTGAACTGAGTGATTAGTATGGTATGACATTCAAGGCCACCTAGGTCTCTATACTAGGTCATCCAAGTTTTGCAAAAAGTTCATAGAAGCTGTTGCCTTGATACATGTTATTGAAGTATATTTGCTTGTATTACATCTTTGATTGATGTTTTCAAATTTGATTCTTTATTAATAGACTAGAGAAATTTTATATTCTTAATTTTTGGGTTTTGCATTGTGGTGGCCTGGTGGGTGGAGGTTTGTTTGGGGTAGTTGCCTAGAAATTGACTGCCTTTCTCTAGCTAGTGATGTCTCAAGCTAAAGCAATAAAGCGAGTGCAAATCAAACACATATGTCCCTTCTCCTTATAAAGTTCTTGGATTGAGAAAATTTATTCTCACGAAATGAGATTTGATCAACTTACAATTATGTATTTTCTTTGGGAGTTCAGCGTACATCTATATTTAATTACTGTACTTGGAGCTTGTATTAGTATCATATATCAAAAAATAAACTTCTGATAAAAACTGATGTTACCGTTTTCCAGTGTTACTCTTTTCCAGTGTTACTCTTTAATGTTTATGGTAATAAAATTTATCTCATTAATCTCCGTTATTCTCCGGTGAGAACGGTTAAATGAAGCACTCGTCTATGGTGCATGAGGTGAGAATGATATATTGAAAAAAGTGCCCTGAGGATGAGTATTGAGTAAGTTTCGATTGTGATGAAGGATAAAATTGATTTCGATATCTGAATTTGATCCGCGTATGGAAGTGGTTTGAAATGGTTGTTTGAGAACGACATTAATCAGGTATGAAGGGATAGGGGTGTGTGGGGAGATGTGGATTGGAAGCAGAATTGCTCTGTTTCCCTTTTTTTCCTTGGTCGGTTCTTTTTTCACTACTTAATTAGTATTTCACTCTTTAATTGGAATTAGTCTTCGCTTCAACATTAACATTCTCACTTGGGGAGCGGGGGAGGAGAGTTTATTCTAAACTTCTTAATTAAGCTTTTAACGAGTTGCTTTTGGCAACCATATAAGCCCAATTTAAACATTTTTAATCAGAGAGTTTTTGTAGCCGGGGAGGCTGTAGCCCAAAATTGGATCGATATATATATATATATGAGTATGAGTATATCTGTATATCTATATAAAGGGTAATCTTCACTCTAAAAAATAATTAGAGTTTTGATTTATATTTAAGAATTGAAATTTTGTTTTATTAAATGTTCATATTTAAAATTAGAAATTTATTGTATATTTTACTATAATGAGTTTTTAAATCTAAATATGAATATTTAATAAGATAAATTTTTAAATTTTGAATTGAATTTTAATTAAATAAATTAACATAATTTAAAGTAGAGATTTTAATTTATTTTGAGTCAAAACTCTCATATATATATATGTAAATAATAAAGGAGAATGTGAAGATGGGAGAAAATGCAATAAAAAAGTTTTTATTAATATCCGGTAGGGGCGGTACTAGATTATTACTAGTATGCAATTTTTTTTTTTTTTATGAAGTAAGTATTCGTTTTATTTATTTAATATTTAGCACACTCAAATTAAGAATCAACAATGATAATTTAATTTGCACTTGCCTTAAAGGTCCAATGGCACTAACCATTGAAAATTGCATTTTTTCCTCCTGAGCGGGGTTCGAACTCGTCTCATGTGAAAAAAAAGTTCAAAAAAAACAATGATAATTTAATTTAAAAACAATGACGATAGGAAAGATAAATTGTGGGACAAGCTTTAATTATTGAAGAGGAGAAATATGAAAGCAGGATTTTAGGCCCAAAGAACCTCTTTCTTGTATTGCCCAAGTCAAATTGGTTTGAATTTTATTGCATTTCTTGTGCTAATAGTATTCTTGGAAGTTGGAACGAAACCTGTTAAAAAGCATTCAGCTTCGTCGCAGCTTCTGCCCCGGTGCTCTTATGTAACTAAAATTGTAAGGAATCCATTAATCTGTAAAAGAAATATCTAGTGTTAGAGAAAAAATTTACCGTATACTAATGGTAGTGGTGAATGGTGATGTACTCTAATTTATTACAGACACGTAAAAAACAAAATTTATAACAGATGGCATAACAAGTCAAATAAAATGGAAATAAAAAGCTTAATAACCAATTGCATGAATTTAAAAAGAAAATTTGACATAAAATCGAAATAATAATTGAATCTTCGTCTGTTCATCTGACTTTACTAGGATCCCTTAGCACTCTTATTTTTGATGAACTGTTGTGCATGGAATCCGGGTATAAATTATTATGGGTCTAAGAAAAACCGGTCCGTTTTGACCATTAAATGGTCCAACGGTAGCAAAAATGGCTTCACGAGGTAAGGAACACGTCAAGTGTCTTTTGGTCGAATAATATTGTACTACTATTAAGAGAAAACTCAGTCTTATATAAAGGTTATTACAACCATCAAAAAGAGAAAAAAGGAAAGTAACATAGCAACTGTTTACACCATAAATTGCAAAATTTTAAATTAATGCCACGTGTAAAATTTTTATTGGCTGGAGGAGTTTTGAGCCATGTCAGATTCGGATCTGGGTCCCATGACAGGTCAGCACATGTGTTGGCAAGATGAGAGAGATAAAGATAATGTTGAGTAATTATCTTTTGAAACAGAAAGAGATAATGACAGTTG